CCCCAAAACCCCAAAACCCCATAATCAAAAATAATTAAATTTCTGTTAGCTTTTTATAAAATCAATTTAAACATTATTTTATATCATTGGTAAATGCCAGGTAAGCTCATATTTGTGAATTAAGATCTATCAATAGCAGAATCTTATGTATCTAATTATCTAGTAGTGATATCTCTAGCACCAAAGCTGTCATTATTTTCGCCTTTAATTAGAATTACATGTCCTCCCTTTTAAATAATTTGATCTTTAAAGTTTGGTAGATTATTTTTCCCTTTAAATTATATTCTTGGGGACTTACCTGATATTTATGATTGATTGTTATACTAGCTAAGTTAGGAGTTATTAAGAAGCAATCTATTTTAAAGCTGCTAATCGGTCAATAAATCATTTGTTTGATGCCTCATAATAGGATTAACAATTTTATTGGTATTTCCTCCTGCTTTCGTTAAGCTTACTTTAATTATACTTGCATAGGAGTTTCTCAAGGTTTAAAGCTCAGAATCAGGCTTAATATTATCAGTAGTATTATTAATTGCATTTTTAGACCTTCTGGTACTATCAAATTTGGTTTAATTCTATGAAGTAGCGAAATTAGTCATTGTTTGATTCAAATTTCTTGAATAAATTCTAAGATTAAGAGGAGATATTGTTGAAGGTCTTATTTTTTTACTTATTTCAGAATTTTTTGTCCTTCCTGTAATTGTACTAAATCTTTATTGATCAAACCTAGAAGTCTAAAACTTTTCTATGGCTTGAAAATCCTAAGCATTTTCCATAAAACTCTAATGCAGCTATATTTCTTGTTTAGAACTTATATTTGGATTAGTCTAGAAGTATTCATCTATGTTATTTAGGTCAAATTTAAAGATCCAGTTATTAATTCTTTAGCATTGACCTATTAAGAATTCTACTTTAGAAATTCTTTGCTATTCAGTCTCTGTTGAACTACTTTACATTTGCTTAGCTATTTCAGTTTACAAGACTGAGACATTCTTTATATATTTATGCAGAAGTTCGATCCACTTAATAGAGTTCTCAGTATCTTACTTATTAGACTTTGTATTTCTAATTTCAATGACATCTACTTTGTCAGCTTTTGACTCTAAGTAACCTTTTAGTTCCCCTTCTGTTAAATTAATGGGATTAGGATTTTGAAGTCCAGTTTAAAGCTTTATCCCCTACTGTGTCATTTCTTTCTTAACCACTTAAATTATATCTTTATTAATATTTTTTCCAAGATAGTCTAGACTTTCCTCTAACTTAGCTTATTTGTTGTTGAAGTTCTAGAATTTTACATTATTGTCTGCCTTATAATCAATAAATAAATCTCTTTCAACATAGTCATCTAGCTTTTTATATAATTCTCTAATATTCTACTTAGAAGCTTTATCAAGAATAACCTCATCAAATCTTCTTACTATTTCCTAAGTTTTTCTACATTCTCTATTCAAATCTAATAAAGACTCTTCAAACTTTTAAACTTCTGGTACCACCTTATTATAAAGTTCCTTGAGATCGTTATATTCAGCATAAGTCTAAAAGTTTTTCCATAATCTAGATGTCTCTTCTTAAGTTGTCCTCTACTTGACTTCCTGGCTAAGAGTTTAAAATTAAGCCTAAATTCTAGTTTTAATGTCCTCATCAATCCTATTAATTTTTGAATTTACTTCATTTATATTAGACTACAATTTACTGATCCTTTTCTTGATTTCATTATCATATATCTCTTACTTTTTGTTGTGAGCATCAAGGCTGAGTTTAGTGTCTAATTTTTTAGCAAAATCTTCTCTAATGAATTGCAACGTATCGCTGAATTCCTCTTACTATTTAAAGTGCATTTTTATCTAACTCTTAAATTACTTATTCTTATCTTAAAGCTTAGTAAACTCATTTCTTTTGGCAAAATTATCAAAATGCCCCACGACTCTTTAGAGATCAGTAAGGGTACAATATTCTAAGAATTTATTCTGAGTTACTTAGACTTACTCTTGAGTAGCAACCATTTCTAACTTTTAATGAATATCACTAACTTCTTACAAAAGTTAGGAAACTTTAAAATCAACATCAAAATTGAGTTTTTATGTGCTGGCAGAATTTTATTTAGTTAATGAAGCTGAAGTCTTCGTGGGAGATCTGGGTATCTAAAGCGTATTAAATTCTGTATTATTTTAAGTTATGCTAGTAGTTGGTTCATTTGTTATAATTTGTGTTAATATAGTATTAGTATTTTAGGGCTATCTTTAAGCTAATTCCTTGATAAGGGCTAAATTCTGATTTATAGATTACTGCTATTAAGTTTAATTCATTTTTAGTTCTCTAACTTCTCTTTGTATTTGAAGTACAATAATTCCTAATTCTCTTGCAGAAGCATCCCCAGCGATATTTTTATCTGAGCCATCGACATCTTTTTACTCAACTTGCTCAACCAGTTGAATTGTAATATTTTATATCGTTTTATTGATACTCATAACTTCATCTTTAAGTAGCTGCAATTTAGGAAAGTATTTGAACAGGTTACAGTCTAACATAGAAGCTATATAGGGTACCTTCGTTTTATTGACAATATCTTCAATTACTTAGCTCTAAAAATCTAGTTTTTGGATTAACGTCTAATAATTATGTAAAAAATGAACAAATTACATCAACACTCATGATTTTTTTAAATTAATAAACTTACTGATAATACATACCTTTATTTTTTCCATTAATATCTTTATTCAAGCTATGGGGTTTTGGGGTTTTGGGGGG